TGGTACAAACAATTTTAATAAAATCTTCGATATACAGTATTTACAATTTGGGCAGTTATATCGTTTGTCCAAATGTTTTTATGATCTGAACGGCTACGCAACTGGTAAAAACAGACCGCAATGCAGATGTTATAAAATTTATGTGAACAAATGCGGCTGTACGATTATGTATTATTAACACATTAATATGTCACTAACGAGTGTACATTTTGATAGTAATTAAAACGTTTTGAGCTTTGTACCCGATACTGCCGTCAAGCATTGATACAGATGATGGGGCCTCGGCAGAAGAAGCCTGTACTTCATTTGACATAAGTCCATATATGAAGCAAAAGGTTGATTCTAACGTTACAGTAAAATACTTGTGCAGCTGAATAATTCCGACGGGCACAGGAATAACTCGGACAATGCAGCGGATTTGCCGAAATAATAAAACCGGCAGGCTGCTAGGTGAAGACTCCAACAAGATACAAGTAAGATAGAAGGAACACAGCCGGTAACCGGACAACCGCAATGAATGCTTGTTCAGGACACTGGTTCAATGCTGGCTAGTCGAAACTTAATTTATAATTGATTGGAAAAGTAGCAATGCTCTGTTTAATGAACGGTATGTATTTGCATTAGGGTATGCAAGAAAAGGATGAATAGGCTCACAAGTTTTGGGGTCTTTAGCTATACGTGTGGTGTTTCCCGTTACCACTCGACTCGAGTGGCGATATCCCCTCAAATAATAATAGTAATGTTCTACTACATAGACCTGTACTTAATTGTTGCAAGAGGCCATGAACGTCGAACACCGCCATGCTTCATCAGACCCCACTACGAATATATGATCGAATTTTAATTTATTCGACATCAATACCTTAGCGGTAATTATTCTCTGTTTTAACAGAACCAGCCACAGTTATGTAATTTGTAAACAATATATATATATATACACACATATATGCAAGACGGCGCGTTTAAATTTTCTTATGCTTCATTTAAATATTTTCAAAATATTGTAAATGACTTTTAAAAGTAACTACGCATAAAGCGATATAAAACGTAATACAGTGCCGTTCACATACGATCCAGGTGCATTAAAAGACCGTTCCGTGCCATTTTAATGATTGTCGACCCCTGCAAATCTGAACTCTATTAGAAATGTCTATGAACGGCAACTTTCGTTTTCGCATATGAGACGAAGTCTATAGTCTCGGTAAGGGGTTTGTCCTGCATAAACTTATTAGGTAATAGCTGCTAATTTTTTAGCTCGAATTCTGAAAACGACACCCTGTTTTTCGTCTAGATCACTTCGCCAAGTTTTTACAAGAGGAATTAATTTTTTTTTAATTTGGGTACTAAATATCGCGAATGGATGCATGTCTGCTGCGACAGATCGCCCCACAAGGTTTTCGCGAACTCTAATACTTCACTTTATAAATATGTACAATTAATAGTTAGTAGAAAGAAAACGAAATACTAGTTAAAATTCTTAAGGTGGACTGGATTCGCTAAACAATAGGACAATGGCACAGTCCTCTTCCGGGCTTGTTGTTGCCATTATTGCTCATGTTGTTACTATAATTCGTAGCGAGCTATGCCCTATATATTATAATGTATGGCGGTTTGTTATCATTACGGCTGATGGGTAAGAAACATTACAATTGTACGTATACCTCTCTGCAATATCTATCCCGCGCGTACGGCCCATAGCTAGTATTCAAGGTTGCTGCGGAATCATTTCCGCGTAATGCCTAAAACAATGTCCATAGCTTTCGGGCCACAATATGCTTCACGTGTTATTCTAGCTTGTAATTCCAGTTTGGATTATTTATCATTTAGCTACACAACATACTGTAAAAATATATACAAAACTATGCAGAGATTTATGTTTTCATGTAAACGGACTTGATGCAACGACGACGTTCAACGTCAACCCTGGACTTAATTTGTTTTGTGTAGTTATAAATTGGTAAGCTATATAATAAATGACAACAGTGAAAAATTACGTACATTTTAGAGCGTTTTGACATGTATAAGATGACGTGTCTGTGACTGTCTTTAAGGGCTGTCTACTGATTAAGATTTAATCCTTAGTAACATAGAGGTGTACCGATATCTAACATGGTAGCCACTTAGTGACTCTGCCTACAGCATTTACCTACAACGTTGTCATTTTTGTTATGTCAGAGGTTATTTTTATTTAATAAATATATGCATGAAGAATCGGCTTGCTACACGCCTTGCCTGATTATATACGAAAAAAAAAAAAAAAACTAAACAATCATGGACGTTTGATCGACTGCTTTCTGGTCAGGACTCATTTTTCCATATTAGTTTCCTCACTAGTGTGCTTGTCATTGAAAACGTATAGTTAGTTTGGTAGTGGCCTATTTTCATGAATACGACCTTTTATTACACCCAATTTACCAATCATCCGTGCGTTAGCTGTTCTAAAGTCTAATATTTTTTCGCAGTTTACCACTGGGAGGTTATTGGTTTTTGCTTGCATATAGTCATATCTATTAAGCCGAACAGTGTGCGGATCAAAATATTGTATGTAACGATGTAAGCCCATAAAATTCAAGCTTAACTATGGCGCCTTTCACACAACGGAGCTCAGATCAGCGGGTGGAGTCGTGTGAAACAATCTAACATCAGTATACACAATGAAGTACTGGACACTTCCGTTACTAGGTAAAGTATATTCACGTCATGAGCAAGGAGCTTGATGAAGTTGACATTCAAGGGCTTGATGAAGCTCAATGGAGCGTATATGTATGTACGTAATTAAAAAATACAGTTTTTGAAGCATCCAAATAGCGCATGTGCTATCACCCACAGCAGATATAAGCAATACCAGCTCACATTTCTACCAAGACCAGCTAGCTTGAAAGGCAAATTATTAATAATAGATATTAATAGAAAGGATATTATTATATCCTAACTTAGGTTAAAATGGCTGCACTTATATATCCACAGTAGGCAAGAATTATACCATAAACCGATATCACTGGCTTAGTACTTTGACTAAATGTTTATTGGCAAATTTCATAGACAGGCAATTATTCCTCACTATAGTGAAGTTAATAGGATTAAAGCAAGTTAAATTACACAATGAAATTTCGGTTTGAGATAAAGATCAAGATCACAAGTCAACGCTGTTCGTAGCAGCAGACGCAAGGTAAGCACGCATTTGTTATAATATTTCAACCGATATTTCCGCTGCAGGTACGCCGTGCGTGGACAGTTAGAAAACATAACCAAGATATAAAATTTTTCATAAATCTATACGTTCCTACCCTTTAAATTTTTTCCAGTTTTCCGGTTGAACAATCACATTCATACACTTTTAATTTGACAATGCCCCGATGAAATATCCCCGTGGTAATGCGGTGGTAATGTGTTCCCTTGATAAACTTATAAACACGTGGTAATCTAGGTTCGCGTCCGGGAGTAGACGTACTTCGTTTCGTACTGAGAGCCAACCATTCGAAGTAATGCCCGATGGCTTGAGTACCGGACATAAAATTTGTCTTCTACTAGTTTCAACGTTCCTACGTATTATAAGTAGATCTAGAGTCGAAAGGCTCTTCAGGCTACTCAGCAAAAAACTATACGTCTCAATACGATTCGTAGTGCGTTGCAATGAGGGGAAGGCTACAATCCGTAACTTTATTCAGGTTTGAAAGTTTTCCATAGGCATGTTGCACCTATGTACAACCTAAATCTACACAATGGGACACACGATGGATAGATAGAAGAAATATACTATAAATTAATAAGTTATAAATAATAATAATAGATGATAAGCTCAAAACCGACTATACGTGTATACATATATGGAATGACGATGTACTAGTGCCGATACAAATGCTATTTACTCGATCAAGACCTTTCCCTTCCCTAGCGATACTAAACGAAATTATTAGGATTATTGATAGGGGCCGCGCCAAGCGTATTATTAGCCTATTCGAACCTCTGAACTCTATGTCTCAGATAGGTATTAGAATAAGAGTACAGAAAGCGATGTGATAACAAAGTTGTTTTACAATTATGTATTTCTGTTGCACTAATGATAGTTTGTTCCGCCAGTCAAAGCTTTTGAAGGAAACGTTTTTGTATTTATAAAAACAGTCACAGTTTGTTTTTTAATCTGAAAGTATCTCATTATCGAAGTCGACTTCGTGAGTGCTGTATCGAATTATGCCAAATTGACTGTCCTTGCCTAATTCCTGATTAACGTGATTTGACCATCATGGCATCAGGATGGCTTGAAGTATCAAACAAATCGGCTTATGAAGCAAAGGCGTTCAAATAGCAAAATCTATTAGACTTAATCTTGATGTTAATATTGCTCAGCTTTGTAACTTCCCTATTTAAGTATTCAGGTCCGACTTTATTTATCTAGCATTACCTTTATTATGCATCGAACTAAGGTCAAATCTTTTGTTTTAAACGTATGTTGTGTTTCGTTCATTCCGCTTATCTCTTGGTCTACTCAATCGAAAAATCCAGATCCCCACAACTTTCCACATAACCCATTACGACCTTTTTTTTCGGTTAGACAAATAATATTTTCGATAATGCTTTGGGCAAAACACGTTGGTTGCAACCTTAACATGCATCCTTGACAATACGCACCCAATCCTAACCCAAAAAAAATACCCGTTAGATATCTTAATTGACGCAAAACAAAACACTTTCCCATCTTATATCATCAGTTTGTTGGTTGCCGAAGTTTTACATGTGCATAACATTAGATAAGTTTTGTCACCTTACTTTAAATTATCCTACATCTCTGGAAAGTAGTACCGGCGGGAAAATGGCGGCAGAACATAATAATTTTCTTGAAACAACTCAGACGTGGTACGCATTGCGCATCTGTGTACATAGGTAAGTAGTACATCTTATATATATATATATATATATATATATATATATATATATATATATATATAACTGCAGAAAACTACCTACAGACAAATTACGAGACCTCGCCGGTTCGTTTGCGGTTAGCTTCTGTCGGTTAAATACTCATCGCACTCTACAGCTGCTTGTGGATATCCTCGAAGACGAACCTTGTCGTCGTTGAACACCTGTAAATCCATCGACTGCTTGAGCGCCTGTAAGATAACTTTTGATCTATCAGTAATTCGCTGCATTCGATGTGAGCCTGCAAGTAGACTTATCGGCACATAACCGTCTTCGTCCATTTTTGACCTCAAATAAGGATCTCTGCTTACATTTTCCTCGGCAAGAAACCCTTTAACCAGGTCGACAATGGCTCTGTTTAACTGAGACGTCCTACAATAATTCAATCCGTAACACAAACAAAGTCATTTAAAATTCCCATCAAAAGTGCGCGAAACCGGTTACTCATTTATATTTTTTTGGAACTTGACTTTGAATTGAAATACGAAATTGGGAGGGTGATTGGCTCATTTTTAGGATTTCTAATTTTGGTTGTTTTACCTTTATTATTTGAGAATTATTATCATCTTATTTATTAAATAAGATATATACTGACTATTTATTAGTGTTTTTGTTTTACTGATTTATTTTGGAGCTTGTCCTATTGAAGAACCTTGTGTTTTCTTTTTTTATATTTTATATATTTTTAATTCATCCTGTTATTTGTTAATTTTTTAAATTAAGTCAAAAGAGAAGAGTAAACTGAGGCAAATAATATAAAAAAAAGAATTTAGAGTGGGGAAATAACGTGTTCGGTTTCATAACCTTGTTTCGATTTTTTTTCTTTAGAAAAACGTCCAAATATAAAAAAGTTTCATTTTCGATAATTCTTATTTAAGGTTTAAACTTATGTTAGATTATTTCCAATAAATTGAGCCGTGTTATCGTACCAAATCGCCAATCGTATGCGGAAAGTTTCGGTATTATGATGATTTCCGAAGTATTTGAATATCACCAATGGGAACATTTGAATTAAAAAAGTTGTTTTCAAGAACACCAGCAAAAATAATGGCCTGTGTGTAAATATTCTTGGTAACTATTTCTTTGAAAAAAGTTTGTACATTTATCAGGTTCATAGACTTAAATGCAAGCATTCCGATTTGGGTTTAATTAGAATTTGAATTTGCTAGAGGAGCGATGTGCACTTTGTTTTATACAGAAATCCATAATTTTAATAACTGTAAACAGAATAAGCCACCACGCTGAGGCGTCTCTTATATAGAAAACGGACTAGTATATTTTGTTGTAAAAGAGAGAAATCGTCACTCTAGAAAGGTTTTCAATGATGCGCAATGTAGGCAAGACACCTCAGTGTTAGGGAGGTGTTAAGGATCCACTGTCTTGGCATTACAAGACTTTTACTTTTTTATTAGCTATCCAGAAGTATTATAGTATTCAGATTGATATAAATTGTTTTTGTGGCTAACGCTTGTCAAATAACCACTTACATTTCAGCCTATTCTGAGGCATAGCTATAACAACCAATATGTTTTCTACGTTTCGTACTTATTATATTATATTAGTGATTATTATTTTATTATATTAGTATAAGTTATTCTGCACCACTTCACGTGGCTGGCTACCAGCGCGAATCGCGTGCCTATGCCCGAATTCAAACCTAGACCACGACGCGCTTTTAAGTTTATTCAGCGCATATGTGCTATCACAGGGACATAACAAACGGCATAGATAGATAATGCTACATCACTTGTTAAATATAATTAGCGGTGCTCTCCTTACCATCTTGCCTGGAATACCTTTGTTGGTGTGTATTTAAAACGCACATATGAATTTAAGTGTTCAGATCTTTCGACACTGACTGGACGAAGCTCCAACTTTTTTCCACTTCGCTCTTTTCCTCTGTTATGCCTCCGTCTCACCTAACTTTTCTTGCTAGGTCTACCATAAACGATTCATCTGTTGCAGATCAGCTGGCGCTCGCAAAATCAAACTTGATGAGATAGCAGACGATCCTATTGGTGTGGCCCCAGTTTGCTTTATTGTCTGTATCTTGATGGTGTTGCTCGTGGGGAGAAATGAACGTCGACTGTGATTTTTTCGTTGATGGACACAGCGGCTCATCCAGCCGTGGAGCTGCTTCCTTCCGAACAATAGAAGCAGCTGTTAGATCTGTTATGCTGTAACTAACAGCAGCAGTACGAACTGGCTATAGATACGATGGGTGTCTGTGTGTTCCATACGTAGATGGTCCATTGACAGATACTCGGATCACTAATAATCTACGTGAATGACTCCCGATTATTTTAACACAGTTCGTTCTAAAGATTGTATTCAAACAATTCACAGCGACGGTCGAACAAGATTTCAATCCTATCATTCCAGATATGCACACAAATCAGTCGCGTGAGATGGGCACACACAATTGTGGAAGTGTCTTCAAAATGTGGTGACTTTATTTCAATATTATAACTAAACGAGGATATTTATCGATATTTGATGCTCGGCAAACGTACGCTGCATCACTTACCCAAAGGAAGTGGCAAGTGACTGTGTCTGATCCACTCCGGGTGGAGGCCGTAATTAGTATAGCTGGCACACAACTGGTTGCTTTATCAATCCTGTTAAAGTTCGATGAAGTAATACGATTCTGATCGGCGATATCGGGTTCGCGAGGTGCTCTCCTATCGTGCGTCAAGTCCGCATGGCTTAAAAAGAATCTGTTCAAGCTCGTCTAGTTAAGACTCTACCGACAAGATACCGTAGATGTATCCTGTAGTGGCATATGCTCACTTCATATCATTGGATTTCATTAAACTTTTTTTTCGGTTACTTTAATATTCTAATATCCTACATTTTGTTCAAACGTCATCTTTGGTTCCGCATTTTTGATGTGGTGCCGGGAGTCATCACTTTAAATAGTTATAAATCGCTGCAGGCAAAATCTATATATCTTCCCGGACATTAGCGTTCTAGTGACTCGCCATGTTTGCATATATTTTCCACCACTGTGCATTTTATTCTGAATAAATGCGAATTTATCAATATGTCAGTCTGTCCTTTCAATAAATTTCACCGGTGCCGTTTGTATTGAGGAAGAAAAAATATTGCGAACATACTCGCGAATGAAAAGGAGAATGTAAGCGGCATGCAAACAGACCGATAGATTACAATTGAAACTGTGAGGTCTGCAGTCTCATTTATCATAACAATGAATAAATAAAAAAAAAACAAGTGGATACAAAGTTTCAATACTCGTATAGCGGAAAAAAGTATAAGGGACCTCTCAGGGGTAGTTTTTTATAGATTTTTTTTAACTCACGTATGAAGTCACGATAATTTTATGCTTTTTCTTAATACCATATCGAGCTAATTCGAGCTAGTTCAGGAAACAAGTGACATCAATCGCAAACGCTCATAAATATATGCTACTCATATAACGGGAAGCGGACGTTGTCGATCCGACTAGTGCGATTTGCCGTTCCAGTGTAGATTCGACTACGTCCGCCTGTTAAATTTCCGGCGTTTTAAGTAGTGGGACATTACTTTACAACTGAATTCTGCTGGAAAAAACGTCTATTCATTATCTGTCTGTAACTAAAACAGCTTGTTAAAGTCCATAATAAATAACTATAATGAATATAGTTAACGCTACAGCATATCAAGTTATAGCTATACATGTTACAGTTTGTTGTTTTTACCAGAGTTGTTGATGGTGCTGAGCTATTGATGATTGCTACTAAAGACACGTTGCTTGTACTGTTAATATAACGAATGTGCAAGCAGGAGACTGAAAGCACTAGCCGATATGTTATGGTTGTAATACGTCTATCTTTTTTTAAGCTATCGTGATGTTGTATGTATCTTGAATTTATCTTAAGCCCAAATTTCAATGTTTCTGTTTTTAAACTCACACTATCTATGATGGTAATAAAATCAACAAAAATGGTAATATATCATCGTTACGATTAATTTTTGTTACAAAATGTGAGCATACACCTACGGAGCCTTGAGTCTGGGCAAACTTGTAAAGTTACAGTCTTTCGTTTTTTTATAAGTATTACGTACTAGTCGACGACACATAGCGAAGCTCAACAGATGTCGTGTATTGAAAGCTGACATTTAAAATACCTTGTTTGTCCTAGGTCAAAATGATGTCTTCAAAATCATTAACTATGGACCGGCTGCTGAAAAGCATCGAAGCGATTAAGGCCACTTCCAGACCACATGATTGCGAGAAGTACATTTAATTGTTATGTAGAAACATTACATAGCTTCAGTTTAAAATTAGTTCGTTCTTTGGGATTGATCCTCTCATGATTTTATGTCTTGTTTTGATATATTTTTAACAAGCTTGATAATAGCTCGGACTGACTAAGAACATTCTGTTAAAGGCATAACATTTTAATTTCTTAAGTAATATAAATAATGTCTGTCTAGATGTCTAACTAGATTGTCAAGAGGTATCACGCTAGCAGCGTACTGCATATACTATACATAGCTTAATTACTACTTGCCGACATTTGGTGTATCGTCTATATTTCATCATTTATATATATATTAGCTATATAAATTAACGAAGAAATATAAAGTATAATTGAGTTTCCAAATGAATATATGAGACAAAAGGGTAGATTCGATTCGTTTGTAACGTTATGCCTTGACTGTTTTTTTAGGGGCCAAACTGAGTTGAATAGAACTGAACTTTTCGGTCATTGCTGCTACCTCGCGGACTCCATCTGCACCGAGCAAACTAAGTAAGTCTCTATTTTTACAAAATGCATACATGTTTTATCATTTTAATATTAGTTTGTTTTAAATAATGTTTAGGTCCTTGGATCAATTCATCAGTTCATGGAAATGCAATCAATAATGCAGTCTTTCTACTGATATAATTCAAACAGTATTACTTCGTCTCCCGGTCGGACCTCGCACACTTTTTAAGGATACTTTTTTGGACCTAGTTGACGTTTAACGTTCCCGCCTTCTCGATCGGCGGCTCTTTTCAAAATGTTCTCCAAAGGCTTTAGCGATAGAGAAGTGTCGAATGTTATAACTGCTAGCAATAATGATAGATATTTTCCAATTATGCCATTTAGTATATACAAAGGCTGAATTTTTTAGCACTTACTTCAGCCAGTTTGTTTGTTGTTTTTTTAAATCATTACATGAGGATCAGCATATTTTTTCCACTTTGTATCCGTCCAGTTGATTGACGGTTGATAATTTTTTTCTTAAGTTTTGCATTTTAGTAAGCAAGTGTTATATGCATTGATGTCTTATTCGATAGAGTTTTTTGGTTTATATGTATATATATATATAGTTTAACAATTTAATGTTGGAGTACAGAACATTATAGCTGTCACTGGCAATTTCAGTCTTTCGACGATACAATTATCTTGTTGTTGAATGAAATACAGGCCTCTATAACGCGTCACACGTTTAGCGCCACTAAAGCCAAACTGTATTTTCTTATGGTAGCCTTGATGGTTGCATTTTGTATTGACCTGCTTGCTTTGTCGGAAATAGAAAACGATTCAGATACGTATCAGTGATGCACTTCGGCTTGAATTAGTTTTAGTCAGAATGTTTTACGAGATCTAAATATGACACATTGTTATGTTTTCTATTGACCTGATAATTTGTCAGGGGTTTGACGGACTTCGGTAAACTGCTAAGTTCCGTGTTCGAGTGCTTCTTCATTGTAAGCGCCAACCCAAATCAAAATGCTCGCCTCGTTGCGGCCGAATGCCTCTCGTTAACCATCCAGGTAATCCATTATGACCATTACAAAACTCATGGTAAAACACAACGTAACCGCTTGCAATTATATTCATAGTAAAAGCGTCAAAGGTTATAGTCATATGTAACGTGGTCTCTCGTTTGGGCGGTTATGAGCGTACCTTACGAAGGTAGTCGAGTTTTAATAACCATAGTTATGAACAAAATGCTTTTTAGTTTATGTCTTGAAAGGCGTATATGATAGATTGTTGTAAATTGAGATTGTTAATTAATGAAAAAATCGTTTAAACGGCTGAAAACTGAATCGGTAGTGAATTGAGATGGAATACCGCTCGGTTATTTTCGATCACATTTCAAGTTCCCATTATCTATAATGTGAATTTATTTTTAGCGTCTCGTTGAAAGTCATCTATCGCGAGTTCAAGCGGAGTTGTACAAGGAAATTAAGAGGAGCGAGGACAAACGTCGACTTGCATTGGCTTTAACAAAATTCGCCCAATTGGCGCCGTTAATTAAGCATGCAAAACGAAGGTGAATATCAGAATTAGATAACTTTCCTTCGTTTATTCGAGCTCAGAGACAATAAATTTCATTGCGTTAGCATATGTCGGATCAAGTGATTTTTTAATTCATTCTAATAGTCCATGGATGGCGTTTATCGGCGAGTATGTATGTAATTAAATCTAGTGTATCATAAGTTCTCATGATAAATACGTGCGTTTCAGGCCGTATTGCGTTAATCTTGTTCCATGTATTTTAAAAATGCTCCAGCGGAAAGATCAGTTTCTTCAGGACGAAGCGGTCGCTAATGCCCTAGAGGAGATTCTTACAGTTTTGGGCCCATACACAAGCCATGAGGATGTCACACAGCTGATCGCTGCCTGTATTACTGTCCTCACCTCAACAGTGTAACTACCCTAATATATTTTTTTATGATCATTATTATTATTAGTAGGCTTCTTAGGAAGCTTGGTCACTCAAGGCAACTGCTAACTTCATGACGAATAAAGGTGATAATAAACTGATTTCTAAGTAAGTCGCAGCTGCACTGCGCATCTTACATCGATGAGGAGGGGGTGATGATTGACAAAACGTTAGAAAAACGAGATTGGGACTATATTGTGCTTAGCGAAACTAGACTCAATTCTCGTTCTGTTGGATATGCTTGAATTGAGCGAAACTACGAACATAACTGCTTACTGGCCGTTTTCAAAGAATAAAAAATAAATTAACGGCATAATAGTTTTTCAGCGTTTGGCCCCATGTGGTCATGCAATCGTTCCTAAATTTTCTCTGCGCCGACAAACATTTTTAACTTCAATGCCCTTGTAGCGAACCATCCTTAATCCGAGTCGCATCGCGCATCCTGGTTTGTCTTGCTGTTCAATGCCGTAAAAGCCTCAGCAATTGCGAGTTTCTCCGAACCACTCTCGTAGGACATCTTCACCGAAATGAAGAACAAACATTACCCGCTGCCCTAGTTTGTCTCCGGTAAGCCAGGTCTTAACCTGATCTAGTTAAGGTTGAATAACAACTTTGCTAAACTTATAATTCAGACTAATCCTAGCAATCGTTATTTCCTTTGAAACCATGCTTTTCAAGTTTTAAGTATGTTGATTTGTATTCTCCTGTCGTCTGCGAATGACGTTCAATTGTTTCAGCTATTTAACAAAAGAATACGAGGCTGTGGGAATGGAAGAATCAGCTGTGGAGGAGGTGAGTCTCGACTGTCTTTTTCTAAATAAGGCACCTAGGTCTAGAGAGAAAAAGGCTGTGAGAAATGTATTCAAGCTTTGCCAAATATTTAAGGTGGAACCCTATAGTCTACACTAAACCCATATGAGGAAAGTTACTCGATATTGCGTAAAAAATCTTAATGCGGTCATAGTGACGCAATTAAGTTGTTGGAGATAAGCTAAGCAGATACAAAACGATTCGTCTCTTGTACTGCCTAAATTGAATAGGTCGGAATCTTGTTCATTTATGATGTTCGCTGTAATTTTCAGGCATTTTTTGCTGTGCTGCATTGCACGGCTATTATTGAGGGCAGCTCATTGAGTTGCCCCGCTTTAGAATGTCTACGAGAGATCATTTCGCGGTGCCCGGCATTGCTCAAAAGGCCCTTAAATCGAACGATTGCCATTAAAAAAAATAGCTCCGGTAAGGACGAGTGTTATTAAACATATTTCAGAACGTTTCATCTTTTTGTTTTGAATATTAGTCACCATACGCTAATTTCTAGCTATAATATATTCGTTGTATCTGCCACTTAATGAAACCAAGTGAAAGCGTTAATATTTGTTTTCGGTGGTATGCATACGATAAGCTGTGCATAAATAGGCATCTGCTCCTATTATTACGTTCATTGCTCTCTCGGGTATTATTCTAGATATTTTCAACTGTCAGGCGAGGCTATTGCAGTTATTCCGCTATTTCTTTGTAATTACTAGACCACACTTTGGCAGTTCTTTCAATATACCGCGTTTGTAAAAGTTGGTAGAATCTAAAAAAATCTATTCAAACGTCAAATGCGTTTGATATTGTAAACGAAACTGCCTCAACACGAAATTTTTTTGCTTTGCTTAGACAGAAAGGCTCTTGTCAACGAAGCTAGTTTAACTCGCTGCTCTAAATAATTATCACTTGTGCTAAAGGAAAAGGTTAAAGCTAAATTTAGAACAGATTGCCTCATAATTTAATGTAAAATGAGAGGTGAATCATTCCCAGCTGACCATTAATTATGATATGAGAAAAACGCTATAAGTGTAAAGTCTGTTACGAAATGCGTGGTCGGTTTTTCCCAACTATCTATGGGCACAAGTTGAAACCAAAGGAAATAAGTTTAGGTGTCGCGCATGTCCTAAAACATTATTTTTATAAAGCGATCTGTTCGCTCAGGGTTTGCCTAAATCTCGTGAAAAATAACAAGGAAATTGTTGCCTTTGTTTCGTTTTCAGAATCTAGGATATGTAATTGTAACTCGGATTGTCCTTTAATTACTTTAAAGGACGAACTTGGTGACCTACCCGCTTCACATTTTATTGCCACGTTACTGGTCAATAAATACGTCGGAGAACGTTCTAACAGCAAAGTCAGTTGCGACATTTTTTAACGTTGACTTGCACATAACAAAAAGTTACAATTACCAAAATCGATTAGCAGTTAGGGCTATAAGGGGTTTTCTGCTAGGCAACAGGGCAACAAGGTTTACGATTCAATAAGCGTCCTAAGCATTGTGAAACTGTGGTTAGCATTGAATCAATACGAAATACAATTCTATTTTTGGCAGTATCAGGTGAGTCAATTTTCGCTAGCTCTGAACTGTGTCGTACGATGTTTGTCCGCTGAACCGACTGTTCTTTCCCGTCTGGGCCCCGTACTGGAAAGTGCTTTTGCCGAACAATCGGATGATCCTCATTTGGTGTCTAACGTGCTTCACCTGATTGCGGTGACCGCAAATGTCTGGAACGCGCAAGGTGAATTACAATTTCCTTATGTTATAGTTTTTACATTTTTTGAAAATAGACAGTAAAAATGGAACACTCACAATAATTTCGCTATAACAGGTCTTCTCATATCAAAACCAGTTTCTGATTTGACAGAGCGTTTTAATAGGTTTTGATTTGCGTTTTCGGTCGAGCCTGATCCTCTTATGGCAAAACGGCGGTAAATAAAAAAAACTATATTTTTCTCCCATTAGGTCTTATTGCTGTTTTAAGCGAGGTGGGTTAAACTCATTAACATGCAAGAACTTGATATGCTTACAGTGTTGTGTCTTTACTTAGGCGAGCCTCGATCAAACGTTGACAGAGCACTTTCATCGATACTCGGCCGTCTAGAAGATAAAGATCCTTTGTGCCAAAAAGCTGCTCTAGATGCGATAAAGGTATAGCATGTTGAAATGATGACGGGTCCTATATTGGATCAGCTCGATAATCCATATGATAAATAACAAATACATTATAAAAAAAAAAACAACCAGTAACGGTATATTGAAAATTCTAATTAAAAACATCCGTTTTTAATCATACACCAGTCATACACAACTATGCATTACTAAAAAGGTATAATATATATGGCTTAGTGTCAATTAAGATTTTAAATGTTCTTTTAACATCTCTTCACCTTTGAAGCTATTTGGTACTATTTTTCGTTAAAGCTCAAAATCACCTAATGGTTTTTATTCGATATGTACTGCAGACGTCAGAGTTATTTAAATTTAACAGGAAAAAACTATTCTATGCAAAATCATGAATTGAGAATTGTGTGCTGATATCAGTTATACTTAACCTATGGTTTGTATGTGTGCTCTGGGCAGGTATTCATTCATTCGTACCTGAAGACAGCAAGTGATAAAGAAGTCCTTGGTTTGGTAGATGCGTTATATCGGCTCAGGACGTCAACATATTTCCTTCTACGAGTTAGTAACATCTTCTCGCAAGCTACTTCCCACGATAATTTACTTGGACGTAACCCTGTTTCTGATTTCTAGCTGTTTTAGATTATCGGGTGTCGTCCGGTTCACAATTTAGCAAAAGACATCGATAATACAAACATAATCTGGTTCGGTAGCAGACATAGTTGTGTGTATAACTAGACTAACCGTATCGTCAGGTGACCCTATGCGAAGTCATTGCCGAAGTTCCATTTGTATATCTTCGTCTGGCGCGTCGCGTCCAGCAACGCCTGATCGGTGATGTCCTTCTGTCGAGCGAATTTATTGGTTCGGAGGACCAGCGTGTTCGTCAAGCAGTGGCTAAGGCCATCTGTTCCTGTGTGGCTACGATGGTACGGGAGGGTACTCATTTTGGTACAGCACTAATTTATGCGGTTTGAAATCAGTACTTAATGGCGTGTCTATAATGAGGCTTTATCATTGTTGTTATTACTATAATGTATATAGTATCATACTATCTATAAACAATTTTTTGCCATTTATTCTTTTTTTAGAACAACACGTCTAGCCGCGTAACTCTTTGCCTCGCCCAATATTCAAAAATTGGTCGACATGTTGAGAACACTATGGGTCGAAACAGGCTTTTACAACAGAACATTAGTTGGACGATAAGCAAACTTGCGCAACTGGTCATGCTTTCTGAGGATAAGTATCTTTTGGTGAGTGCAATGATTTTATCGACCGGATATAAACCAAGTAGAACTCTAAGGTTTGAAGTAGGGTATTCTACTGGTGTCTCTCGATTTTCTCGAGCTTAGAAAAATTCTTGATTGGAATTCTATTTAATGTGTTTTCGATAATTATAAGACACAGTTCCGATTTGAACACAGCCAATGTCATCGAATAGCTTATTCTTTTACGGACTGCCATATCGGATCTTGTGTTTTGTTCTGAATAGGACGGTGTCCTGGTAGCACTGCACTCGATTCTTGAGGCGTACCCTGCCACGGAATTCGATTACCCATTGGGTGTAGGATTTGTTGGTCATTTAAATCATCTAATGACCTGTTCGAGTCTAATGCATGACACGAGTTTGCATTCACTGATGCTTGACATTACGAGTCGACTTATTGTTGCGTACGGGAGAGACTACGCTAAACAAAATGCAAGCGGTAAGAAAATATTTTTACGTAGATGTATATCATATCATGTGGGTAAGCTGTGCATAGTGGAAAAGCTAATTACTGTATTGATAACCGAAGTCAGCGGTGTGTTCGGACATAACAGGTGTGAACCGTTATTAAAGGAAAAAAGGGTCAGCCTGATCATCAAACTGAGTGAGCCCGTAGCTCAAACTGCTTAAATGATGCTCAATACTGATTTTATTTAATTCCTATATTAAATGACAAATCGAATTTTTGTTAGTTCTAATTTGCTGCACTCGTTCGCACATGGACAGCTTCGTGGTATATTTAGATAAAACCTATAAACCAAGCCTAATTTCTATATTAATACACCTGTATGTGACATCTTCATGCTATATAAAGGGTTCGGCAAAGACTGCAGCCATGAGGCTAAGATTTCCTTTTTGCGATAAATAAGCAGTTATGGGCAACACTTTATTCAGACAGTGTGGTGAGACTACGCTGGTTTGCCTCGAGTTTGAGCGAACTGTTTTTTAGTGTCGGAAAAACGTTTTTCCGCGTAAATTTTACATTCTTTGGGTGTGTATAAACAACTTCCTGTGTGAAATATCATTGCGTCGCAATAGATTGTGGAAGTGTACACATTTCTTTGAGGTGATTCTCTTGTAAAACGTTCTCTCTGCGAGTTTAATACATGGATGTCTACTGTAGTAGATGCATCTAAGATTTTTAGATTATATAATATTAAGACAGTCGTTTAACAAGTCTAACAGTATTTATATAAGCCTTTATAAGCGAGCTAAGAGTAGCACAAACGAAAATAGCTTGTTGAGTTGTTTATGTAACTTTGAGAAAAATAGAAATGGGTCTGAAATCCAATTTAACGGTTTCCTATGAGTAGATTGTTTAGCGAGTTGTAGTATGGTTTCAGGGTAGTGTTATGAGGTTGACATGAGAACCAAAATTAAATGAACGTTTTTAAAGGAAATACCCACCACTCTTATGATAATTTCACACTACACCCTGTTGCATGGGAGAATTACAAATTGGCTTATAATAAAAAAATAAAATTCGTTGCTTAAACCCGGCTACAGCAGGAACTATGAAGTGGCAAATCAGTCGCTGTTGTGTTCGTTCCTTTCAAAGTACTTGCATTATTGCCAAATTTTTTATAATATTCGTATTGTCTGGCGATTATCGAATGATTCCTAAATATACTACCAAATTCTGAGAGCCTTCTGATTACTAAAACCGATACAGGACTGGTGCACATTCGTCCTAGAATTTGATAACCTATTAAAGTAGGCAGGAAACGTCAATGCTTAAATACGTTGAGTAATATGTAGATAGTATGCTCTAAACATTTGATCTTCAGGCACTACTAGTGGAGATTCATGGGCATTGCTGGTTGGTGCCGATCAGCTTAAGGCTGAGTTGTCTCTCTCTCTTGACCATGTACTTCGGGTGATAGCGATTCACGCTGAGGTAGCCGAGAAACCGATTAGTATGATGCAAAGATGGGTAAGCTACAGAAAGATAATTATTGTATGTGTGAAACATCAGCATACTAAATGTGCGACGTAGAGTTCACCAAAAGTGTGATCCAGTCAGCAAAAAAATATACGTGTCTTGAACTTAAAAAATTAAACATTTTTATACTCCGTTTTTAAGACTGTATCGAAACGAGAATAGATATATGAACTAACTTTTTGCGTGTGCTAGAAGCGTCATTCACCGGCCACGTTTATCCAATAAAACTACCATAAATTACGATACCAGCTTCAGTTAGGGAACTAGGCCACTAACTAACAGTTTTCAATACATTTCTTTTTTAATCTGCAAATAACTTTTCAATACCAACCGTGCGTCGAACGATATTGATAGGTGTAGACTCGCTATAGCGTCGCTCAAATACCCCACACACACAACAATTTTAACGGAATTAAATTTTGAGCCGATTGAAGGTCAAACGTCACAACAATTCAAGCACTTCAAGTGGCCAAAAAGTTAAAAAAATGCAAAAGTTCTAAAAAAGCAAACTTGTTTGGACGACCTAATATGCAATTGATATTCTTAAGCCTAAAAAGGCTGTTAATTTCTATAGCCAAGCTCTATTGCTAACGTAAACCGTCAATTTCAGGCAAAAAAATAAGTTTGAGTCTTGGCGGGAGTTCTTCTACCGTACAAGGATTAGATAACACCTGGTCCATCCTTACATGTTGAAAACAACGCATTCTTATTTCCCATAACGAGTCTGCTATTTTTTCCAGAAAGGTTTGGATACCAGGAGTAACGGGGGAAGACATACCCATTACGACAAATATTTCGCTGAAGTTTTCGCTCAATTTAAATGCATCATATATATATATATATAAAAGAACAAATAGCCGCTAGCTCATACGTAACAAAAGTGTAAGAGCCCTAGTCTCTTATCGATATGTTGTTCGCTTCTGACTAGGAGCCTAGTTTTTCACTCGGTCACTGCTATCAGCCGTTCTACGCAGCCTTTGCGTGCATTCCTTGCGGCTGTGCTTTTGGCAGTGGTGAACAGTATATTCGTCCAGTAACGCGTCTCGACGTGCCGTTGTGCCGAGGTGTGTAGCGACGTTGCATCATTGCCACAGTTTTTCGACGCTCCAGGCGTCCTCGCAATTACGTTGATCTTCGTAACAAATGCGCAGTATTTTTCTTCGCGGATCCTTTAAGACGATTTCAGGGCTGCTTGTACCTCATAGCCCACACGTTTGGTCTTCGACATCGGTTACGTCCCTTTACTTCGGCATTAGTCTTTCGGGAGCGGCCGAGGCATCTCGCGTTTGTTCTTTGCTATAGCTCCAGCGTTGGCCGGTTTTCTCGAGGCCGTTGTGCAGAGATTGACAACGTAGCGTATAGGGATTGCTATACCTTAACCACGCCAAAACTAACAGCTGTTTTATTTATGTTTTAGTTAAATTTTCGGCTGTAACAAATATATACATATATGTAGAATGAAGCACTCATATTCAGATATACTTAGACGCACTGTTTGCGCCTCGTATACGACACGTGAACAGGCGTTCACCTGCTATTACTGTTGGTGCAAACAGAGTTCTTTCTGAAATAAAACAAGAATCCATTACGGCGAAAAACCGAGGAATTTGAGTAAAGATCATCTATCATACAATTTTTCTGCGCTGGATTAACCCCCATTAAAAGGAGAAACGTTATCTTTTATTTGAAATCGATGATTTACGTTATTGCTAGTTTTCATGTGGTCTCCAAAAAATGACCTTTATGAAGCAAAGGAGACGATTCTCAATAGATTTTAAATTGAAAAATGGCTCTGGAGGTCATTATTATTGACTCACTAAATTTTTAGTAGAGAAATCGATGGACTTCTTAGAGAGGGAATGATCAATTGTCAATTAGGTCGCTTAGATATTCGTCCGCGGTTATTCTTGCTGAAATTTTTAAACCGCTTTCAACTGTTGCATGGGTTCTATAGGAAGGTTATTTGCATGTTGAAAAAAATATTCTAGTTAGTGGCTTAGACCCCTTAACTAAAGCTGTAGTTGTACTAGGTAGTAGATATGTTAAATAAGCATGGAAAAAAATTCGTTTAAATGTTTGTTTTCGTGTAGATATAATGTTAATTCAAGCCGAAGTCCAGATTTGGATGCCTCCGCCGCACATAAATATTTCCTCTACATTTGCATTCTCTTTAAGTACTACCCACAGAATCGTTTTAATCCACCGCTTGCGTTTTTCTTTCTGGCTAGGTACCAAAACCAGCAGACAAGCCGCTTCTGCTGAATTTAGAACGTGAAGATAGTGATCTTTTACGGGTGAATCGGGAGACAGAACAGACGGTAGACGGATTCGTTCTGACTCGTGAAATGCACTATGGAAAACTGCAGGAAGGCATCACTGCTGCATTTAAGGCGGCGTCGCTTAATGTACATTAATGTTTGACTACTTTGTTATATTCAACTGCATCGATATGTTAATATTTTGGCGAAAAATTGTACCGTAATTCACATTGCCGTTCGGGTGAACTTTAGGGCAACAACATTTTAATTAAATCATTCGTATCTTCGCTATTTTGCAGACGAGTTTATCTTCAAGTGCACCATCTCCACTATTACTCGCTAGCCTTTCTGCGATCGATAATTTACTATCACTATGCCTAATGCAGGACTTTACGACGCACATTCAGCCTTTGATCGGAAACCTGCATACGTTGTTCGCTCTTGCACCGGTTGCTGTCATTCGAACTACCACAGAAGTGAGTGAAATCAACAGTTTCGTTTTTAGTAGCTTTTATCGGATCCTGCCCTTGGTCATTGGATCTCAATTGTACGATCTCGAAAAGTTCGACTTTTTGGGAAGAGTATGAAGCGGTCAAATGTCAATTTAACAAATCTGACTGTTTTGTTATCAGGTATTAAGGACGCTGTTTGCGACCAACTATGCAGGAATGCATTCGCGTACGGAATATGACAGAGGCCGATCGCCAAATCAGCTCGAACAGCGGAGATGCGATGAATCTCGAGATCTCTATAGCGTCTTAATTGATGAGCCGTATCTTCAATTCACGAAACGAATTAACTGCCATCCACCTCTTATCAGTGAACAGCTACTTCGAAATAACAAATGGTCTATTTTGTCCCATTAATTAATATGTTCTACAAATAGCAAATATTCACCTAAAATTGAAACAGTTAATGTAATGTTAAAGTTACTCCTTGCTTATTTCATTGTCTAGGTGTTCTGGATCATAAAAAAGTTTCTCATGCATGCATGCATGCATGCATGCATGCATGCATGCATTTCCTTACTGCGATTTAGAATATTTGATAGTTTTTTTGGAAGAAGAAAATTGATGATGTGTTAGAAGGCTATTTTTTTTTAAGATGTGTGACTAGTGATTTAGGGAATGTATGTTGATCTGGAACGTTTCAGGTATGAGACTTCGTGGGGCTCAACAGTGGTGCGTCCTGCAACGAATGTCAAATCCGCGTTGACACCACATATTCGCATGTTCGAGCCGGTTGCCCAGCAGGCACTCAAATTTTACGTTTTACTAGTTTCGCCCGAACTACAAGAAGTCGTTCTGCAGATGCTTATTGAGCTGGTTAAGGTGAGCACAATCTACAGTACGTTAGTGTGTTTATTCAATAGCTGATAAATGCTGTAAGCAACACAAGCATCGGTGGCCGAAGAAAAACAGGCAGACAAAATGTGTCCTTTACAAAACGATACGCTTGCTCACTTTTTGGGAATGGGTCGCGTACAGGGTATTAACTACAGGTAAGGCATAACGATCTGCCATTTCTTTTTTTCGAAAAATCCATGTCATAATGAAGTTTCGCCAGCACAAGTTTCTCTAGTTGAAAATCACTTCTACGTGGTTAGGCTTTGAAGAGATATCTTCTCTTTTGTGAGCACCAAATATGCATTTCTACAATAATGTTTCTATGATAGAGTGCTTCTATGAACGAGTGCGATGTATGCACTCCTAAAACGATTACAAGTCATTGAAGCACGCGTACTATCGAACCATATTTTGATCACGCAGGGCGTTGGCTCAAGACAAACGTCGGAATACTATGACCTTCCACCCTCGATACAAATGTTTCTGGCAGAATATACAAGGATGACCAAGCAGGGCTTTGTACGTATGTTTGGAATTACCTCTGTGTGAAAATGAAGAACACTGAATCATCTGTGAGTGTACGTGCATGCATGTGGTACAATGCCAATGCAGTTCTTTGATTTCTTGGGACAACACTTGGTTAAATTTAATTTACTACAGAAATGAGCCGTGCTTTCAAAGGTGCTCCATTCGACCCACTTAGTCTCGATAATTGGCCTCCGTTGCTGCAGTCGAGTAACATGTCGGTGAGGACAAACAATCATGTATTCTTTCAAACAAACTATCGGTGTCATAACGAAAACAAACTTTCAGGGCCGCATTAACTATACCCTGCTTGATGCTCATCAAAAATTTCTGAAGTACGTTATCGAACAATTGGAGCTGCTGTTTGATCAAGGAATTCCGTCACCTGTGATGACGTTCGAAAAGCTACTACCGAAACTGATGGAATTTTTGCTTCTATTGGCCAAAGAAAAGTACTCGTCAAAGCTGGTCGTTTCAGTTCCAAAGATCTTAAAAATATGCGAGCGCTTACTCGAGCCCGGATCATCTCTTACCGGTCGAGCATTGCCCCTGGTAGAGCCTCTGGTCAAGGATTTGTTTGCGATCTCCGCTGAGGGTGAGTCGTAAACCGTTGTTCACTGAAAACGTTATTCGAAACAGTATTCGGTAACGAGTTACTAGTAACGGTTCCACCACTATGATCAAATCGTCCGACATGGTCACGGCATACAGAATATAATTACTATGCAATACCGAACGAAACTTACGTTAGCAGCTTTTTTCTATTCCATCTAGATGCGGAAAGTAACAGAGCTGCTGTGCTACGCTTGGTGGAACGACACGCTGATTCAGTGGCCTGCCTTCGTCTGCTCAGTCGAGTCATTCAGAGCTACGAACTGGCAGAGGATCGGTGGAGGAAGATTTCTCGTGAGGTGGCGGACATGGTGCTGATTAGGTTCTCCCGGGGAGAAATACCTATTCACTCTATAGAAGACCACTCGGTCAGTAATTTTCCCAATAGCTATACGAAGCATGCAATAATCTTTGGTCAGCTTTACATTTAGATCATTAGGAGAAATGAGGTTGTTTCAAGATACTACAATCAGACCGCAAATTGTAGGCTTGCTCTATCGTATCGCAGGTGAACACCTATCCAGTAGTTGTCTTGCTATACTGCAATTTCGCTCTGACTTGTTGTGTCTTACTAACAGCCTTTCCTCTACTGATTGGCATCTACTGATTAGGTTTTGGAAGATCTATTCTGCGCGATGCCGTCATCGGTCTTTAGGCCCGTGGATCTCATTTTAAAAGCACTTTTTGTAACGGGCAGACATTCTAATACTCACCTGCTAAGGTATGTACCAAGTCAGTAATACCGCATTTGTTACACTGTGTTTATTCCATAATATTTTATTTACATCGAGGTGTTTCGTCACCTTTCGGAACTGAACTGTTATTATAGAAGCAGCATTTCTATACATATGTTTGGGAGAAATGAATTTTGTGCTAAAAACTATAATAACTTTCCATGTTGACTCAGAGGCAAATCGATGCTCGTCCTCACAGTGAAAGTTGGGTTTAGAAATTACGTCGAAACGATTTAACGTCTTCTTTCTTAAATTTATTTATCTCGATGAAGTACGACAAGTATGACTTAATGATTTTTACAGTTATTTGTCACTGTTACTCGTTGTTTGGCGTCTTCTTATGACCCATTCCGAAGAGGATATTGTCCTTGACCGTCTTCAGGATTTCCGCGATGACCTAGGTAAGGTATTAAAGAAAAAACGATCTCACTTTATAACCAATGATGAATTCAAAGTTAGTAGCGAATAAAAGAATAGTAACTAATTTCTTTTTCCTTCCTGGAAAGCCACTCTTTTACAAATATCCCTCAGGACTGCAGCTGCACTTTATTTGCATTAATAATCGGTTACGCGGAATCACCCAGTTAACAAATGAGCAAACCGTATATAACTTACGATCATCGAGCTTTTTCAACCTGCTCTAACCCTTACAGAATTACCAGTCGAGATGGATTCAAAACTACAGCAAAGTGATTTATTAGGAATGGAGCAAAAATTAAGCGACTATCTGGTGAACGTACTATTATACGTGCTGGAAGCATCGTTGAATGATGGTCAACTTGTCGAATTCGTGTCACTTCTTCTCTCCGAACTGACCTACGTACTGCAATCCGGCAAATATCCAAAGCTGTGCCACGCGCTCGTCTTACTCTTGTCTGAAAATAGTGCTCTGCTCGAAGAATACAGTCGGCGCTTACTTGCCAAGCACGTCGATCGGGCGTACCTGATCAGCCAATGGTGTCACCTCCTCATACTGACCGATCAAACGTGCCGAATTTATGGCTGGTGGGAATCATTAATCAATGAACGGGGCCAGAACCTTTTGACAGATCTGCACGCCGAAACGGCACTCATCTTGCTGTCTGATTACTTCGATGACAATATCGACAATGTCCAAGAGCAGCTGAGCAAGTTTCTCAGTGCTAATGCGTCGTTTATTGTCGAACTATGCAATGAGCCCCCGATTCAACAGCTGATCGCCTCGGTTCATCGACGCAAAGAACTAAGTCGTTTTTTCAACGACTGCAGCTGCAATGTCGACCTCTGCCGTAAGGCCCAACGGGTGTACAATTTGCTCAAGTCAATACCAAAAAGTGACCCGTCGTCACAGGATAAGGTTCTCCTATTCTTAGTAATGGAGATTTTCCCGCTTGCACCCGAGTACACACGTCAGGCAATGACCGAGCTCCTTGACCAGAATCTCCGTAGACACCTCCAGCAGGATCTGTGGTCGCAACTGACGGCCCTTCTTTCCCTGGCACCTTTAAGAGACCTCCGTCAGCTACGTAACCACCTCGTAAGCGCCGACGCAGTTGCTAGTCATTTCTCCAGTAGCAACACGACGGAATGCGTTGAAGACGAAAAGTTCTTCCTCGACTACCTCTGCACAGTTGAAGACCCGCTGGAGGTGTGCGAGATTCTGCAGAAGCTAAGCGACAACCTGGCGGACACTGAAGGGGCGGTTAACAAGCTGTTCTCGGTTGAAGACGATCTTCGCAAGCTTCGGCTGGCCACCGTTGCCCTAGAGAAGGCTCCGCTCACGGTCTACTTCTATAGAAAAAGTGTAGCCTTTCTATCGCAGGATATTCCTAAAAAGCAATTGCTTATGTATACGCGGGCGTTCGAAGCACTACTGAGGCGGACCCGACAAGAACAAAAGCCCGATTTATATAGTCGGTGTAGAGAAACGTTGTCATCAATTACGAAGCTATGTGGTGGAATTGTTTCAGACGGCTGCCAGGAAATGGCCGCTCTTCGACGGGCCTTTAACAGCGTCTCAAACATACTTTCAGAAGTGCCGATAAAGGAGTGCCTTGGCATCAAAGCTGTTTTGACTATGGCACAAGTATTGCACCGATATATAAGCCATTTTAGCCCCATCCCAGACATCCCGGAATTTGATGAAGACGAGCGCCAAGCTAGGTAAGAAGCTAAGTAGTGTAAATTATATCATTAACCATTAGTACGTAGTGAAGGAAAAGAACTAAGTGTATGTATGCTTTTTAATAAAAAACAAAATCCTCAAAGCAGACCTTCAACACACGCTTACTGCATAAAAGCGTGGAATATTAACTAAGATCAAGAGAAATTGTATTACCATTTTGTACAATAACAGGAGATATGCAAGTCAAAACAAAACCAACAACGTTTTTCCGAAGGGCGCCAAAAGATAGTTTTAAACTAGTTTGTGATATAGCCTTCGCGAATGATTGCATAGTTTCCAAAACAGGACAATTAACATACTTCATTGTGTTATTCTTGTCATATGTGTGTACTCATTTATACGATCTCAGCGTACTCGTGTCGTTATTATTAAACTGGTGCGAAGAGTCAATGATGGAAATACCACTGGGAGTTCACGTGAAGGATCTTATACGACACCTAGCAACTAGTGCTGTTAACGAATGGATTCTAGCACCTCACCCGACGCTACTTCGTGGTGAATGGCCGCGTCCACAGGTGCCCTGCGACTCGTATCTTGATATCCAAGTTCTACAGAAGTTTATGTTCCGTTGCAACTTTGTCGGCTGGTCTAGTCGCACCCAGTTCGAAGAAAGCTACGTGACTTTGTTGGGAGTGGTGAATCACATCACTGAGGACCGTTGTAACGACGCTGAGGTTCGACTTTTTTTAGTGGCACTAATTTCTCGGTAGAAACTAGGTGGCGACATTTAGTACGCTTATTTTATCTTTTTCTTCGGGTGATTTGCTCATCTGGTCTTATTAGTTGGCTAATTTCATCGACCTACCACTGCAGGCGGTGTTGCTGGCTTGTAAAATTGTTGGTAGGGAACAGTTTCATTCCGTAAAGGAAAAAGCGTTTTCATATGATTCACTATAGGCATTCTTAAGTAATTAATTACAAAATAGCATTAAACGATGAATGTATTCCATTTGTGATTTTATTTTTAGTCTGTGTTTGATATGCGAGCGATCCGACGTCACGGTCTGACAGCAATAACGTCTCTGTTGTTACAATGCCTTCGTGTGCCAGTGCCATCACGAAGCAGAGCCTTTGTTCATTCACCACGCTGCACGCACGAGTTTACACACGTTTTAACGGTAAAAAGCCTTTGGAGGTCACGTAACGGTAACATGACCGCTCATAGATTTAAAAACAATGTAAAAACCGATCTGGCTAAAAAGAGCGCTTTACCCAAAAATGAAAGAGAATTGTGTGTGAATCAATAACTCATTTAATAACAATTCAACTACTACACCGAAGTCGTCTTTGTAAATGCCAATGTAGGACTTTACATTGAGTAGAATATCTCACAATACACAGAATGTTAGAAATCTAGTATGCAATGCTGTGATGACAAATATATAAGGTTAAAGCCTCAGTATTTACCATCAAATGGGTCTCCTCGGAGCATATTAACTTTTGACATTTTTAGTAATGCGTCAAGCGCCAATATTACGACAACTTTTTGGGGTGTAGCTACAGCACTGGAAAGTTGGCGACCCGGCAAATCTAAGTAAGATTGCGACAATATTTACAAGCAACGTGTTGCTGAAAACGTCAAGCTAACGTATCCCAGGTACGCGCATTTGATGGTATTATACACACCCGGTACTAGTTACGGCCACGTTTCTTACAGTTTTCGAAAAGCGATAAATATACTTTTGATTGTTTTGTTTTTCTTGCAATTTTAACGAAATATTGTTTCTATAGAGGGGCGGTGATACCTTCGCCTTTGGTGGAGGTCGCGTTGAAAAAACGGCGTCAAGCGTTGGGACTGAAGTGAACGTTGAGCGAGCTTCATGGCCCATTGGGAAATATGGCCTTGGACAACTGAGTGCCCCCACAAAAAGGCAGCAAAATACGCAATCGCCTACACACAAGGCTAATGTTTGTGAACCTGGGAGCACTGTATCAACGGTAGGACATACCGTTGCATCTAATGCGCTGAAGGCATATGTGTGGGAAATACGTGGACTGGAATTTTTTCAGCTCAATTTTGCCTTTTTTTTAATGATTTTTTTCTAGATGAAATGCTTCTGGGAGGTGTCCGTTACATGAAGATCTCAATTAAGATGGATATGAGCAGTCTATATGAAAAAATAACGTAGTAATAAAAACATTTACATTATTATATAGGACCTGACGTTACCTTTGCGGTCTTCTTTACGGATTACTACAGCAAAACAATACTGACGTGGAAAAGGGTGATTGGCGTGGGGCGATGCGGACGCTTGACCTCGACCTTAACTCGTGTTTCCAACTCATCCTCGATATCACGGACCAATGGCTTAAAAGTGATCTTTGTGTAAGAAATAACGTTTATGTTTTTACTTACTTGAAATTGCGTTCGAAAGATACTATAGTCTGCACACCCCAAGCATATGTACAAATTAAAACTTGTCCAAATTCATTTAAACTATATATCTACAAGTCACAGATAGCAGTCGTATTATCTTTTTTTTTGCTATTGATAGTCTATTCTCTGGTATTGAATTTGCAGGATTACCAGCTTCGGTGTTCAATATATAGATGCCTGTTACAGTTGTGCGATCTGCTGTCGGCCGAACAATTGATTAAGATCGACCTTGAATGTTTCCGATTTGGAGACTTCCTTTTCCAGGATGACACCTTACTTGTACCGCTGTTTCTCGTCCTAATGAGCAAAGTATGCACGGTTCCTCTATATACCCAGTCTGATGTACGTGTAAGTTACCCTAATTTCTGTTTTGTTCGTTCGTTTTCATCAAGTTTATTTAGTTTGTCTCTGTTTGTTTATTCGCTACGTTCGTTGATCTATTTTTATTGTATATCTTTTTTCTGCACGAAATCTTCGATGATCCTAGGTAGTCTGACCAGATACCAGAGATTGGATATTTTTGGGTTTTAAAATAGTAGCAAAGTCGTAAGTCCAACCGTTGGAGCTAAGACCCAGGCTCAGCTTGCCTGAAAAGTGCAACATATTTCCCCGTCGGACAAGTGTATCTAATGCTTGCTTCCGACGTGGGTGCCTAGCGACACGTTAAAGTGAGCGTTCGTAAGCGCCATACATAAATGAGAGCAGGACCTACCTTTATGGGGAGCAATCGTGAAAAAAGGTGCTACGGCTGCTACAGAATTCTGACTCGTATCATCACACATCGGCTACGAAGTTGATGTGTAGTCAGACGCATCATACCTGGAGAGCAAAAATTTTGCCAGGATGTTTCAGGAGATGATAACCCGACTTTTCTGTGCGGTTCATGAATGAACCGTAGAGATGTCACTCTGAATCATAAACGATATGTCACTCTGTGTCCAGGATACAATGGAATAGACAAAAACGTTGCACACGTCGATAATCTTATTATCTTTGGGGCCAGTTCTCTCTCTGGGAAGTTCTCGCGAAGTGGTTGATGGTTGATTAACATCCGCCGCATTGCTTTTGACATACTTTACATAAATAGAACGATTCTAAAGTGCGTGAATAGCTTTAGGTACCTGGAGGCAATTTTTTCCGCGAACGTTCAAGCCTTCTTAAAGTACATTACGGACACAGTATAGCGAACAATGGTCGCTAGTGTGGCAATACGTTCGCTTTCGAAATCATTTTTGACGTTGGCCTCGTTCGAAATAAAGGCGGCTCCAATTATTCCCTATGCAATTTAGATCGTTTGATGATACCTGTCTTCGAAACAGTCCAAAGAAATTTTAACCATGTCAAAATCCGCCAAACGAAATACAGAACCCGCCACGTGCTTGCATTGTTTAATGTGGAACAAGTAGGCGTATCTTATATACGACACATAGCTACTTGTAGAGGGTCTGAGACATACGTTTCAGCTCCTCATCATCCCTGCCTAATCAGATGTTATCGGCACATAGAGAAATATCTATTTCGACTTTTATAATACGAGAGCTTATTACTAATACAGTCTGGAAAGGATCATACAGAATGAAACGTTTGGCAACGGATAGATTTGATCACATTGTACGGGGGACATGTGTATCTATACAAGATGTGGTGCATTATGCGCTATCATACGAGTGATGCGATCGGACACACTTATCTGAAATCGTAAAATTCTAGATTTTGTATTTATAGACAATTATGTCTTCGTAAACGCCAATAAAATTTCACATAAAACACGCTTTGCCCCAGTGGCATGCGATGTTTACGTGAAAAAAAAGCTTTACTCAGACCTGAAAAAGATTTTTTCTTTGGAAAAAGATTAACTCACAGACTCAATCGTAATCTACTATGAGCAATTTTTCATGGACTTATCTCATTTACATGTTATGTAATAACCGTTGTTGTATGATGACGCAGTATTCAAAATGGTAGCAATAATTTCAAAATAAGTTAATTTAAACATGTCAGTTCGAACTTATTTTCATTGATAGTGCTACTAATGGAACATCCATTGTAATGTTGTTTTCATCGTATGGGTCGTTTTAGATGGCACGCTTCAATCTACTCACAAAACTGGAACGTGTCTTCGAGTACATCAGTAAGCACGACCATTACTCATTCAAGCAGTTCGGCCTTTTGACGGCTGTCCTTGTCGCATATCGACATATTCCTGCCGTCAGGGTGGAAACATCGAAAATTATTGTGGACACCATTGTTGCCATCACGACATTTAATGTCGGGTACGTTACATTCCTGTTAGTACTAAAATTCCTATTTTCATATAACGTAATAGCTGCGTATTAGTTATTATGGTCATTTTGTATCTTTCCCATGCTGCGGTAGGAATCCATCCTGTAATTGAGCTCGATATCTACACGATGTACATTTTTTTTTTTATCGGACTATAAAAGTCGGCTTACAATGCATTAGTTGTTGTTAATAGTCTGTACGTCTATATTTTTGCTCTACTTTCACAGGACCGTATGTGAGCCAACACTGGCACTAGCTCGAGCAGCAGCTTTCTATCTGGTAGAGAGCGGGCGGAATGAGGCAGACAAGGATGTGTTACTAACACAGTGTATGGATAGTGCCTTCAGGGATACGAGAAATCTCATTATTACTTCTCAATACGGGGTGCGCATATATATACAGATATATATATATATATATATATATATATATATATATATATATATATATATATATCCGTTTTGGCCTTATTAAGGTCTATTAAAAGTTCATGATTGTACAGCTCGCTTCAATGATGTGTGTAACTGTAGACATTTTCACTTATAAAGCAAAGCAAGCATTGCGGCCTATAAAATCTCCTATGTTCGAAGGTGATCTAGCCTCCTGTGGTCCAAATCAAGTTAACAGCAGTTTGACTTTATGCAGGTTTATCAGTACGAAAAATGCCAATAAGCTTTCAGGCCATATAGGTTAAATAACAATTTGGCTAAACAAGTGTACTCACCACATACTAGTCACTAGACGCAAACATGACGTAAAATAATGCCTATCAATTTTCGTCTGTTTAGATCCGACATCTGTTACGGTCGCGAGGCATGGAGCAGTGGGTACGCAATTACCTATTCAAAAGTTTCGACGTACAGTTTCGACGGGATTGTCGCGCTATCAACATCGAGCAAATGGAGAACCTTCGACTGATCATCATCCTTGATCTTCGGGAACAGCATGAACGACGAGCACGATTGGTAGGCCGTATTAACAAGGGCGAATCCACACACATTTTTTTCTTTGCTACGGATACCTCGTGTCTACCCTGGCCTATAGCGTATTTAATTCATTGAAGGTCGAAGCTCTACCGAACTAGTTTTTTCTTCGACATATTACTGATCCTCTCTGAGTTACTGTATTCAATTTATATCATATAGCATAGTAACGTTTAGTTATTTTATCCAGGGCTACGATTCCTCAACTCTGTCATCTCCTGCCATTGACAGTGAGGCACTGGCTTTACTGCTTGAAAAGTCTGTCATGTTGTTCGATTTCATCAAGGCGACGCATAGCTACCCCTTAGGAAAGGTGACTGTGTAGTAATATTATGATGCTTTGTCGCATCTAGATTGTCATACCATTAATTACCTCACCGTATGCTAGAACACCCGAATGTTTCGGTGTAAAACAAATTATTATTCGTTCGGTGGTATTAGGGCCCACTTCTGCGGCTAAAGCTTATTTACTCTAACTGTTACGAATCGTCATTTATGCAGGCAATCTGTGGGATCCTTTGCTCCGTATATGAGCAATTGCCCTTTTCGGAAGGAATCAGCAAAGTAATGGGGGAGCTCCTTTCGTATCAACAACCATACCCTGAACTGCTAATGATCGTATTGAACAGGTTTGTTCAGTATAGTGATACGTGGTACAGAGTATTACCTTAATATATCTGGTATTTCTACAGTTGTTGTATAATCGATTGTGTTATTTCCGGCATTTTACAGACTGTACTCATCTATGATCGAGACAAAATGTCAACTACATCTAGTCGAGGACTGGCTATTGCTTTCGTTGCACAACCTCACGCAGAGATGTTCCTCAGCTGTTGCTCGATGGAATCTTCTCTGCTGTGCCCTATCTGCTCTTGAAGACCCCATGCTCCGGTCGCTGTAAGTAAACTTAACAAGCTCAAACTACATAAAGGCAAGTTTCTTGTCAACCTGAGTCTTCATTTACTTTTGTACATTGTTTTCTTTAAATTGCTGCTTCTTAGTTACTGAATTAATAGGTATCCTCGCCATATTCCTGTAAGAAGAAACATTCGATGACGATCGGCCTCTTAGGGAAACACCTGATTTTTTAATTACTGAATTTTTCGACACTTTTTCGGTTACTGTGAGACTAAATCCTCGGAATTACCTCTTCTGTACAGTGCTAAATATTAGTAAACTTCCGGAAATGCTCGGAGCTTTTACCTTGGTGGGTGTTTCAAAGCTTTGCCAGAAGTTTGACAGATCTATAAAACGGTTTGTTAACCGTATGCCAGCTGAACTATCAGTCAATGCTGAAGTTTGAACGAGCAATGGTAACATTATCATTCAAAGGAGTGTATATTATCGACCCAGACCGAATCAACATGTGAGCGAAACGCTAATCTTATGATAAACATATGTGTTCATTATTTCTCTTCGTTGCATTGTATTACAGACTTTGTACTGTCGTGCATCGCCGACACTTAGGCGAGTATGCTTCAGCTGACCGGGCTCTTCTTAAGCAAGCAGTGACTTCATTAGCTCGACAGCTGGCCAAAAGCTCAAAGAAGGATCAGCTGGTTGGCCTGTTGGCCTCAGTCACCGCCCCACCTTTCATCCGGGAGCTCTATTCGCACCTCTGCAGCCAGGCACACGCAGTAGGACTTGCCAAACCGCTTAAACAGCCAAAATCTTCCTATGCAGGACAAGAACTTTCTTAACCATCTTTGTTACCTTAGACTAAATAATAACGAAAATACTGTCCATAGTCAACATGTGATCGACTCGTGTACACTACCTAATTCATTGAAGTATTGTCTTCTGCACATGTAATAAACATGCTACAGAGCAAAAACGGAAGATCCAATTAAAAACAAGGAATTCCACTTTGTGATGTTTTGATCTATTTTGCTGATCCGTTTTTACGGCATTACGTTCGTTAGCTATTGCTAAGCATTATTCTAAGCCTGAGTAACTGGTACCGACAGTCAGCGAGTAACGACGCCGTAGAATCATATTGCTTAAGTAGTACTAAACAGTTGAAAGCATAACGATGCTGAGCAATAACGGCGCTAAGTCAGATAGCTCGTATTACATAGACCAGTGAGTCAAAATGGGAAAAAATGGTTCTCACTCACGGTGCTAATGCACCCATTAGATATGCATTCTTTATTCATTCCGGAGGCACAAATCAGATATCGATATTTGACGAATGTTTGTTTAAAGCACCTCCTTAACTACTGTCAAACATACGATAAAGTGAGCGAAAGACAGGCCGACAGTTGAAGACATTTCCTCTTTTTTTGGCTCTTATTCCTGTGTCCTATAACTTCACTGACATCTATATTTGAAAGATCTTGTACGCCCGTGCAGCCTGTTTGGCTAAAAAAAATTAAGATTAGAATCCAGAAATCTATATTTGCTAACGATCACTTCAGTTATCACTTTGAGGCTGGTTGAAAAGCTAGGAGACAACAGAATAACCTTATAAATAACGACACTACGGACAACAGAAGGAAAGTTGTAGTGCAATACAACTTTAAATCTATATTGGAACATAACGTCAAACATTAGATCGAAATGTATTGACGCATTATTGTATTACATGCCAATGTTTTTAAATGTTGTAATTTTCTGAAAGTATGCGTGCGCGTACCTAATAAAGAAGAAAGTAAATTAATCGATAATAATGTGCTCTTATTTTCAACTAGGGCATATACACAAAGTACGGTATCTAAGCTGAGACCAACTTTAGTGTATGCGTTCATCCGCTACAACACTGGCTACCTATAAAATCCAGCTATTTTCACTACGAACCGACAAATTCTTCATGACAAACAACGGTACCTTGTTTTCAGAATCTGAGCGAATATCAGCTATTGTCGAATCTCTTCGCGCTCGACCAATTCCCGCTAAAATATAAAACATCTCTCGTTTGTTGCTCGTAATCAACGGTCTACCTTGTTGCTAGTTTTCCATGAAAAATTCCAGCAAGGCTTTGATGTAGTAAACTCGACGATCCTCAATGGAGACTGGATTTAAGAGTTCAAAAGTTCATCGTAACATTTCTGGCTTTCTATTTTAAAAACTAACAGTCCTTCCAAGAAGGAGAATATGAGTTGTCCTTTTTTGATCACCTAACTAAGCTTCAATGGTTGGACTTTTTCTGCCACTTAAATTTTTCAAGCGTCTTTAGTCATTTTTGATTCTCTATTAAACATTTTATCTTATTCGAATTATTTTTATGAGATAGATCCAAGAATATTGGTTGACGCAGGAATATTGCTGAAATTATTTATACACAAAACGAGGTTTAAAAATAATAGTTAATAAGCTGTCTTGAGTCCCAATGTAATTAATGTAACCTGTTATCACGGTGAATAGCAGTTATCCTACATAGACTTAACTTTCAGAGATGACACTTTTAGCAGATGTAAAAAATTCTTATGGAACTCTTGCTCTTATTTAAACACAGTTAAGGTACCGGGTTAGGTAAAGATATAAGTACAAATCCTTATCTATACCGGTATGTAAACTCAACAGTGAACAATAACGATTCGATGATCAAATGCGAATCAACATCTTCTCATCTGGTTGAGTTCTGGTTGAGGAAGTCTTAAATGTGCTACAGTTGTAGGAAACGTTAAAACCTCTATAGGATTTGAATTTCATATGTGCATGTAATAGAACAGTAAAAACAATCTACATAAACTTAGCGCTCCGAGCTGGCCTACTAATACATGCCTGTCTTAATATCATTTGTCTAATATACGGTTTACATTAATATCATTTCAAAGCTGTGATTTGATAAATGAGCTAAAATTTTTAGAATGTCTTCATTTAGACTTAACATGGTACCTTGGAGCTGAGTGAAATTTCCACAAAAACTCGCTATTTATTACAGTTGTTGTTGCCATGCTATCCGGGCACATAAAAGGTTTGTTGTTAATCAAGATAAGTTATTGGAAAAACAACGACCCAAAAATGCTTCTGTCTCTTTTGTTCTTGGGAATTTCGGCGGAAGAAAGGTTATGACAGAAGTGAAAGACCGAAACGTGAGTATTTATGATCTAAACATCCCAATAGTTTTAGACCATTTGAAGAAAGCTGCTGGTGAATTGATACAGAAGAAGTCACTGACTCCATTTGCACGAAATTCTGCAAAGACGCAATGAAATCTAGCAATTTTTCAAGTGGCTAATAAAGGTGTCACTTACGACAACAGCGAAACCGTTACGGGCCATGTGTCCACTTCCGAGTAGCAGAATAGATATTTTCCACAAACTGGAATCAGCATCCACAAGATACCCTGGTGTAAAAGGAATATTTAATTTCCCCCAAACCCCTGTATAAACCCTATCCATAATTCACTCTTGGCTAGAAGCTTCGGAAAACATGCGTGGTAGTGCTGCACTGTTGTAAGCCCGCCAGGGTAGAGTACGAATGATCTGGACGGATCAACAGCAGAGAACACTACTAATTTATTCGTAATTTTCACTAAGAATCGAAGCACGCCTACGCCTTTATCCAAGTTATAGGCATCGTTATGTTGTGTGGCAAGCTCACTAGCTAACTATTGAGGATATGTCCCACACCACTGAATTGCGTGTTTCAACTCGAGAGGATCTCCAGAACGTCTCTGATAGGAAATTCTCCTACGATTTGCGAGATTCCGCTTTCGAAAATAGCCGGTACATTGTCTGGCCTATTGCACCACATGCCTGGGATTGTTTGAAAAACATCTTGCATGCTAGTCGACCAGCTCTTACTTTCACTTTGTCTTTGTAATCCTGCGCTTCCGAATGTTCTTAAGACCGAAATCATACTTCATTGTTCTCAGAGACCTCAGAACAACCGGTCAGCTTATGTTAGCACCGTTTGCACGACGACGCTGAAATTGGAGGTGTGGTGCACGGTTGGTTTCACATTGATATGTTGAAACAACGATAGCCGGAACCTTGAAGCTCTTGTTTGGGCAACTTAACGCTGGTAATTCGCTCGGCCCTGTCTATAGCAAGTTCTTCCTGCGTAAGTTTCGCCATCACGGTGTATGTGGTACTAAAACTGTGCGGCAAAAGTTATTTCACAGTGCTTGCTTCGGTCCAAATGAATGCAATGACCGTCTAGCAGAGCTTCGTTACGCAGCCTGTATTAATCGAACAAGCAGTGAAGTGAGTTTTTTGGCTATGCAATGGGCTTCACTTTCCTCTGTACACGCTTATGAAAAAAAATTCTGGAAAATTGTTATTATGTTCAAAGGGTCGTTGATTGATCTGCGATTCGAAAGGTGGTTCATCCCTCGCAGTGTTTTTCAATATGATACTTTCGTTGGATCTAGAGGAGGGCCCACTTATCTCAGTTCGTCCTGTCAGACGAGTCTTGTAGCCCAGCGACAGATGGCTTTGCTTAGGAAATGCCATGAAATATGGTATATAAGTCAATATATATATATATATCTGCCAGCATAGTCAGTATTTAGTTTAAAACTTACTTAGCTTGTTTGTTACTGTTTTTTTGCCACTTCTAACCGATTGAATTTGGTCGCGGGGTGTAATATAATCATCTAACTGAATATAAGGAATGACAGAAAAATGCTGGAACACTAAATATGTGAAGTATAATTCGTGACGATTGCATAAATAATAATTAGTATATGCAACAATAGATCACTCTACTGTGTAGAACTCAATTTTTGGGTATGCCGTTAGGACTTAGTCTGGCTAATGGGTAAATCTGATTTATTCATGAGGTCAGTTGACGGTGATGCTATTAGTGTAAGATTGTTGACGAATCGTGTACAATGAATATGATTTGTTTTCAATTGTTAATACTGCCATGTACATCTTTTTCGAACATGACATCTGCTGGAAAATTCAATGTACTACCTCTTGCCTTGTTTAGACTTCTTCAGCTCAAATAAGTGCCAGGTAACACGAGTTCCCTTTCAGCATGGAGATAATAGATTCGCGTTGTAAATAAATACTCTCTGAAAGGCCTAAAGAAACAATCACAAATGTAATTTCCTCCCATTGAACACGACAATATCCCCGCATTTCTATGTTAAGGAGTAGTCCATGAGCGCCCGCGACAGATCACTCTGAAACGTCTTCAACATTATAATATTTGGTGCTTATAAGAAAGGACAACAGAACTTCAGCGAATTATTTCACGAACGATTTGATGAAATCACATGGTGTAGTAGAGACGTATTGCGTTTCTACGGGTCTTAACAACAAACGGTCAATTTCTTTTTGGGCCGCGTATGCCGTAGTGCACGTACTTGAATCCTTGGAATATAAAGGAAGACGTCAAAATGATCCTTTGCTCAGTCAGAGTAAAGAAAGGTAAAAAGTAGAAAAGATACTAAGCAAACGTAGCAATGAATAAACTTTGCGTAAAAAAGTGACCGCTTACGTTCCCTTCGGACGAGAACCAGCTTCAAAATAACTTGTCGATCAACAGCTTGGCCAAATATTTTCCACAGACTTACCGTATAAAACATATGCACATTGTACATAGATCTACCCACTGATTAATGATACCGAAATCAATTTTGTTGACTTTTTCTTGCCTTTTTGTAGACTTTTTCTTGCCTTTTTGTAGGCTTTAAAGTGCCTTTGACTACATCTACCTCCGGCAGTAAAATCTGAGTCTCAGTAGGTCCGTAAAAAGGCGCTTTTTTCATGTTAAACGTGAAAGCAAAAAGCATCATTAGGAGCGTGGCGGCGTTTCTCTGCAGTAGGTTACTGCTGCGTCAACCTAGGACTAAGTCCAGCGTTCGAGTACGCAAAAACATGCAGGACTGAATCTAACAAAAAGTCAAATTTCACGTCCGGTACTGAGGTGTAAATGGACTAAAGAAAAAGTTTGCAAAGAAAGCTTACGAGTGGGTCTTAAATAGTTGGGTCATATATGAAGCCTTCTGTTACGAATATGTTATCGTCTATTAATTTTTTTTTATAAAGGCCAGACTCCAAATGGCATTGGAAATTCTTCTAAAACTTCAAAGTATATATGCCGATTCAATAGAGCATAATGTAACGAGGATGTTTGAAGCACGTTTACATGTATCCAAATAATTCAGATCAATATGGTAGACGTTTTTTTACAACAACATGTAATGATACAAGAAATCTAACCATATAATTAATTACTTCGGAACTATTAGCAAAATTTGGAAGGACATTTTGATAAATCCCTTTTTTACGTCCGTCCTTCTTAGACTTCAGGTTTTAGGTCCGGTATCGCCGTTGGGCATAATTCCATCGGACAGATGGCTATGTCCCGCATGAAACAGGCTGTGTCTGTGCCCCGGTTCGGACTTAGACCATAACGTGTTCTTAAGATTAGTAGGCAAATAGGTTTTCCACTAAGCTTTCGTGGGGACATGATGATAAACCTGATGGTAAAGAAAGTCATTGTACGCAGCTACTTTTCATACGGAATAACTTTACACTGTTATACATATGACTGCGCACAGTCGACACCAATACGGGTTTGTCACGCGGCTTATCTTATCCTTGTAAATTGATAACGGAAGAAACACTTCGAAAATATAGTCGCAAAAGAAACAACCCTGGAAGAGGTTGTAAAACACATGGCACTTGACAACTGCTGTTTTGCCTGTTTCGAACCTAGAGCACGACGTTTTGTGCTGTTGCCAGTGTCAAATCAA